ACTTTGTTCTTTTTAAGAGCTATGAATAGAAATAACTCTAAAATATTTACCATATCCCTGTTGACGAACATATAGCATGGTCCAATATTTTGCTGATACGAAGAATTTCACAAGGACTACTCTTGTATATGTATCAGTTTACACATGAGCAAGTCTATCTGTAAGATAATTTCCTGTAAGGGAAAATCCTGGGTCAAAACCAAATGGTATGTGCATCTGTAATTTAAAAAAAAAACGTTCCATTACGTAATTTTTCAAGTATTACCAAAGGAAAGAGACTAGTATAATGAACCCCACACCCCGTCACCCAGCTTCAAGTTACCGGTAATCCATGGCTGATACTATTTCATATACTGGCCCCACCCCCCACCTCAATGTATTTTGAAACAATTTCAGACATAATGTTATTTCATTGGTAGATATTTTGGCACTATTTCTGAAAACCAGGGGCTTTTAAAATATGTGTATTACTTCATCATCACACCTAAAATAAATTAATACTAATGTATCAACATCATCAACTATCTTCTTAGGGCCACACTACCCCAAAGTGTCTCATGAAAATTGATTTTTGAAATAGTTTTTTCTGTGTTTCAGAATCCATTCAAGTCCACGCTGTTCATTGCAGCTAGTTAAATCTTTTGATCCCTCCCCCACGCACCCCCACCCCCCGGAGATCATTTTGTAATTTGCAACTATACAGACAACAAATCTAGATAACTGTCTATACACACTTTGCTGAAGATACTGTCCTGCTCCATCAGTGGGAATGCAGGTCTGGAGCCCAAGCTCCTGTTCTTGTTGAGAACCTGTAGAGTCCGGGAGGAATGGGGGAAGGAAGGCTGGGTGGGCTCACAGCTGTGGCAAGTCTCAGCCCTCCGGGTTCGGGGGGTGGGGGCACTGGAGTGACTTTCTCTTCCCGCAAGCTACCTGCGTGGCTTTGCCTATGGAAAGACTCCAGGTCAAATCTCAGCCGGTGTAATTATTCTCAGGAGGCCTTAAACAAATCTCTCTGAGCTGAGATTTCCTCACCATAAAACTGGAATATTAATCCTTATCTTAAGGGGGTGAGAATCAAAGGAGATCTCAGGTAGAGTGACAGCGGCTGGGACTCTCAAGTTCTGTGATTCCATGATGGAGACCCACTGGCAGTCTAAAATACCAGCAGACCCTGAGCACCCACAAAGAGAGAACAATCAAATCGTTCTTCCTCCTTTGAGGAGCACAGATTGTTAAATATAGCATGCCTGCCCACCGTCTTTCTGCTCTGCCTTTGCGGCGGCCCCATCAGCTCATCTTCCCGCGTGTCTGCGGGCGGAGACTGGCCACCCACTCAAGAGCCAACATTTCTGTCTCGATGCCCCCCCTTCCCCAGGCGTGGGACGCAGCCTGTGCCCTCTTCCTGCAGGTTGAGCGGTGCCATCTGTCCCTACTAAGTGTGGGCTTCAGGCACAAGGGCTGGGCTTTCAGTGTGGGAGGCACTTTCTCCCCCTCACCTTTGTTTTCTCGCCCTCAAGGGAAGGACAGAAAGTCCAAACAGCCCTCGGGCCCCAGGAGTGGGGGGTGGGGGGGGGGGGCGGCTGGCCCTGGCCCTTCCCCGGGCCCCAGCCTCGTGGAACAAAGAACCTGGCATTATCCATTCCTTCGGGCCATCTGCTAGGCGCAGGTCGTGACCGAGGGGGGTCTGCGGGGTCAGGAGGAAAAGGCCCAGGGCGCAAGTACACCCCAGGCGCTGTCCTCCTGCCGCCGCACGAGCTGATCGGCAGCCCCCGCTTCAGCAGCCCGGCCCACCACCCCCCCCCCTCAGGCTTCCGCGGGCCTGGCGTTCCCGGGACCCGGGCGTGGGGAGACCCCTGCCGCTGCGCCCCGGCCGGGCCCCGGGGGGCGGCAGCGGCGGCACGCGCGCGGCTCTGGCCCCAAACTCGGCCCTGTGAGCCGACGCCGGGGCCGAAGCTCCCGTAGCCCCCGTGCGCCAGAGACCCGGGGAGGGGGGGAGCGTAGCCCAAAGCAAACAAAGAGTCGGGGTCCGCGGGCGCGCCCCGGCCGCCGCACCCCCGCGCGGCTGCCCCAGCGCCGAGCCCGCGCCGCCGGCGCCAAGGAGGCGTGCGTCTCCTTATATGGTCAAATGAC